CAATGACGCTGAAAGGCTCTTGTTCATTACAGTGGCCTTTGACTCGTACTGTCTGGGAGAAACTCTCTGCATGTTGGTGTATGTATAGAATTCCTTGTTATTGTTTAAAAGTATTTATGGAAGAGAGGAATTTGCACTGTTTGTAAGTAGAAATGGATCAATGTTTCCCTTTAGAAATTCAGAAGTTACATTTCAAAAGGAGGGGGGAAAAATGGTAAGAACACAAAGGTCTGATTTCATTCTACAATTGGACTAATAAGTGAGGTAAACATATTGAAAAGCAAACAAACAAACACAATAAAAACCCCTACCAGAACTTTTTCACTTTTTTTTGTTACAGTGCTTGTCTGAAATGGAACCTTAATTAGAGAGAAGAAAAAACACTTATGGTTAAAATTTCATAAATCACTTCTACCTAAATTTTGCTTGATACAGAGGGAAAAAAAAACTGGTTCTTTTTGTTTATAAAAAAGGTAGCATTCATAGTTATCTGAAACCAAGGGCAGGGAGTTTGAAGTCAGAGAAATTACTGTGAAAAGGATTTATATATATACATCCATCTATGCTTTTCTTTTTATGTATATGCGTATGTACATTTAGATGAGTATCTGTATGTATATAGAATGCGTTTCACTCCACGTAGCAGTGATGATTGCTGAGGATGATCTGTCATTATCGTTCTTATTAAACGTGATTTTTCAAGATTACCAATTCTCTCCACTGATGGAGATGTCAGCACGAAGTAACCTGGGTATTACAAATACACAGATCAGTGATTTGTTTAACAAGATCAGTTTCAGCTTTTTTCCCTCTTGCTGTGCTGGGATGAAGTACGTTAGGCAAAATGCTAATTTCAATGCAAAACTACCTTACTTAGAAGGATCAAATAATGCAGATATAAATAGGAGTGATTTGTAATGAACAGAGTTGCAGGTGGAGTTTTCCTGGAGCAAGGCAAAGATGACTGAAGTTCATCACTTTAAAAAGTAGGTATAATATTAAGTAGCTTTTCAGAAAGAATTTAATACTATATTTGTCACAACATATATATATATGTAGTGATAGGTAAGAGGAATGTTTACCATCCCTTGGATTTCTACAACATTCAGTGAAGAGACCTTCTTAAATATACAAAGCTGTTTGCTGAGGTTGCTGAAAGTCTCCGTTTCACAGCCTGCCCTGGGAGGATGGAGGCTGGGAGCTTCCTTTCCTGTTTTGGGCTTCTGTTCCATCATCTGAGAGCTAATAATAGTACTTTAATGAGGTAGTGGCTTGAGAAAGAGTAAGCATCTTGAAGAGGATGTGTGTGCCCCATCCAAATAATCTTGAGACTAAAGACTATCAAAAATTGCTGTTTGTTAGCCTAGAAGCCCATCTCTAAGAGTCATTTAAAACATACACAGTTTCTGTGCTTTCGGCACTCTTTTCTGGGTAGAATATAATGGAAGTGATAAATGTTAAGTTTCGTTGTTGATTAAAAGAGTTATTCCTGTATGGGAAGAATGATTTTAAGTATTTACTTGGCAGGTGTCTATTAAGTAGAAACTTGGACATGAAACCAGAATGTTTTTCTTTGCTTTTTGAAATAGGTGTAAAAATAAGTGCCTGGTCCTTCAGGTGTATGATAGCAGAGCATTGCTTATACATCATTGCCTTCTGAACTCGCACACGGTATTAGTGGTAAATGATGATCTGGGTTTGTGTAAATCTGATTAGAATGACTTTTTCCCCCCCCAGAATTTATAG